GTCTTATTCTGGATTTCATCTGAATCTCATCAAATTCTGCAGAATTCAGCTCAAGACTATGGTTTCCACCGGGGTTTTGACCAGGAAACTTTCCTCAGGGACGTTTGCTGGAGGAAAACATCATCTCTCCAACAGATGTTACAACCCTGAACCTTGCACAGAAAATGCTTCAGACAGTATGTAGCCCTTGGGAGATTTCAGTGATGGAAGATGGGAAATGAAAGTGGATGTAAAGATGCAAGGAGAAGATGCAAGGAGAACGAGGTTGTTTGTGGTGGACTGAGACCTACTTGCAGGAGACAGAACAGGGCCCATCAGTCCAACACGATGTCAGCAAGTTGGGGTATATCACATTTTTAGAGCCTAAAGGCTCATCCATTTCCTCTACAGGCAGGCATCTTCTCTGCTGTACCAGTTCTGAATCATGGCACTGTTTGTATATCCTGTGAGTCTGGCCCAGTTTCTGTTCTCAGTTACACCAGGAAATATTTGGAATAGTTCCAAAGATTACTGTCGATTGATGCCAAAGGAAGCAAGCTATGGCTCAAAGTCCTTGATGGAGAAAAGACATCCTTAGCACTGAGCCACATCTGTGAATCACGCTGCCGCTCTGCCCTCGCTGGGCGCATCGCTCTGGGCCTCACTTAGAAAAAGCTCAGGGCAGCCACCACAGGGGCTGAGAGCCACCCTTCCACCTCACTGTCTTTCCACTCAAAAGCTTTCCCAATGAGGAGCTTCCAGGACTAATTGCAGCAATTCCAATGAACGGTAACAAGGGGTTGAGATTTCCAGAAGCTCTTCAGCACCCATAGCGATCACAGCAGACAACAGGAATTGCAAATGATCAGCAAAGTTGGCTAAAGGGTTGAACGGAATTGCTCTGTCACAGTGCCCTAGCCCCAGACCCACTGACACTTCTCCCCCTCTGTCTCTTCGCAATTATAGATTAATAAGATAAATAAAAGCCACAAATTGCATGCAATCTCCCAGCTCATTCTGTAGCCACAATCTATTAGCACAGCTCCTCTGACTGCCATGCATGGAAAATTGTTAAGGGTGAAGCCCTACGCTGGCATCTGCAATGCAGACCTCATCATCTGAGAGGATTTCTGCTGTGCATTTTGCTCTTTCTTCCCGCACCAAATTCCCTTTGGCACAGGCAGACTAGCCAGAAGGGATTTCTGCAGTGCAGCAACAGGTCTGAAAGAACTAGTTCGCCTGATATTCCCAGCACCACAACCACGTGGTTCTATTCACCTGATTTATGCCTTTCAATTGCAGCATGACCACAGGATGCAGATGTAGTATAACATATTCCCTATGCATTTCCCTGTAGTATGTTTTGTTTTGTTTTGTTTTTTTTTGGTTTGGTTTGGTTTTTTGTTTTTTTTCCTAAAATAATCAGGAAAGAAAAAAAAAAAAAAAAAAACTGACTTCATGCTTGGAAAAAAAAATTGGGAGTTAAAAAAAGAATGTTGTCCCAGCGCACTTATCCCATCAGAGAAACAGCTATGGGGTCCCACGTGCCTCAGGAAAGAAAGGGGGGAAGTGAACTTGTGTCAGGAGTCTGTTTGTGCTGGAATTGGGATCTCTCGAGCTCCAGGCTATTTGTTCTGAATGAAATCATCTGCTGCTGAAAGGCTCAGTAACACTCCTGAATGAAGTTTTCTACCTACACCGACTTATTAACTTTTCTTCTAGGAAACCAGAGGGGGAAAAATCACCACGGAGGTCTTGCAAAAAGGAGCCATGGAGAGGGCTGGGCTCACACACATCCACATCCGCCCCACAGAATGCCCATCCCTGGGGGGCTCAAGACAACGTGCTGCTCTTTCTTGGCCACAGCGCAGATGGAGATGGAGGGAGAGCCCTCAACAAGGCACCTGAGACCTGGCTCTGAGCTCACACTTGGCTCTACAAGTTGTCTTCCTTCCCCACTTTGTCTTCCTTCCCCCAGCCCTTGCCATCTGCCAAAGGGAGGTGTTCAGCAGAGGAATTGGCATCACTGAGAGCTGCTATACACCACTGCAAGACCTTAGCTGAGCAAAATAATGTTGGACCCAGTAAGCCAGCCTTTGTCCTGTGCTCACATTTGCTGACAGCCACAGCTCTTCAGGTCCAGGTGGAGCTCCTCTCTCATAACTGCAGCTATTGAAAGGCAGACGTTTACTCTAAGCACATTGTTCAGACTACAAGCAAGGCAGGAAGGGTTCCTCAGCCCAACCTACACCCATATCACTCATGACACTCATGTCACCACCTTCTCAAAAGCAGTTCTGCTCTCTGGAAGCCCCTTTTGCACAGAGAAAGCCCAGAAACACAGCCAGGGGTCTCTGCTTCTGGATGGTATCTTCAGCTGCCACTGGGTCCGTGCCCCAAGAGACACAGTAGGATCTGTGCTGGGAGCACATCTCAGGGCTCAGGCCTCTCTCCAACACTGCCCCAAGGCATGCAGGTGATGGGGATGAGAAGGGGAGCACTCCAACCATGCTGGAATGGCTTCCCTCAAACCCACACAGCCTGCTGGCAGGGTTCTCAGCTCTGCTTTTGGCTATGAAATGTCCCTCTGCACTGGAAGTTAGGACACAGTTAAGACAACAAAGGTGCTTAGGCTTTCCTCAGCATGAAAAATTCATTCCCTCCATGGCTACACCCCCTAATGAGATGATCAGTGACCTGATGAATGTCAGGTCACCGCTTCCCAGTACTAAAGGCTGTGCACTGTTTTGTAAAAGCGTGTTTTTTTTTCCCAGCTACCTTCTTTTCCCTGTTATGAAGAAACTGCCCTAAAAGTATGTTCTCTGAGAGCACACTCAGCCATCACTCCCTCGAAGCCCATGTACCAACATCTGCCAGCCAGTGGAGAAAACAGCCTCACTACACGTGTGCATACACACATACATTGTACTTAAATATATATTTATATATGAAACATAAAACCCCAAACGTAGGTTGAGCTTCTCTAACATACCCAGTGCTGAATGGTTATTTATCTCATGTATACATCACTTATGTATCTTTCTGTACATCACTATCTATCTATACATCACTTATATATCAAGACGTGTCTTGATATATTAATACATTTTGTATGGGTTGCGATACAGAAAAAGCCCACAAACGTGAGTTCTGATTTGTCTGTATTTACAACCCTGGGTGTGTCTTCATCATAATATAATAACCCAAGCCTGCTCTCTTGTTAAAAAAATGACATCTTTGTAATGGTACAAAATTATTTCTGTGTAATCCGTATAGAGGATAAGTTATTAAGGAAACAAGCATCAGAAATTGTCCTATTAAGTCAAGGCTGTGGATTTTAACCCTTTCCACCATGTCAGGTCTGGGCATGTGTGTTTATATACTCCAAGTGCTTCTGTTCACTGTATCAGAGTATGACCACAGGCCCCACAGAAAAATGCCAAGCCATTTTTAGCACAAGCTCAGCATGGCTAGGTGCCATGCTCTTCATATGTCATGAAGCCCTTCTAATAGTCCTCACTGTTTTGCCTCCTCCCTCCTCCCTTCAGAAACCCCACAATGAATGTAAACCTTCAAATCTTCCCATTGGCCATAATGAAAGGGTAGTTTAGCAGCAAAAAAAAAAAAAGGTGCCGGGACATCATTACTCAAGTTCCAGTAAAAGTTGGAAGGCTGGCACTGGGGGAGGGAGCAAAGTTATTTCAACTGAGTGCACCCCCCAGAATAATAAATAAATAAATGAATATTGAGACATTGAGACATTGTGCCAATAGGATCTGTGCAGAGGGTGTGCAGAGGGAACACCACCTTCAAGGATGGCATGGAATTAGAAGAGTAAGTGCTTTATATATATATATACAGAAGCTTTTTCTGATCTGATCCTGAGAATGGTTGCACGCAAGCAGACACTTGCCCGCTCCATTTGGGTAAGCTTATGGGTGTACTGAATAAGGTTCTGGGTTTGCAGGATTACAGGCATCATCTGGTGCCCTCCTTTAGCATGGCTGTAAGATCTATGGGACACCAAATACAGCAACTGTACGACTTGTGGATCTGCATAAACATCAGCTCCCAAGGCAGCAGCAACCACTTACAGCCTGGAGGGATCAGCTCCAGGTTCCTGGGCTGCCCATGGGTGGATGCCTCCAGAAGGCAACAGCATGGCCCCTACAGTCCTCCGCTCAAAGCCAGCTTTGCTGCTTCCAGAGAATAAGGGATCTAAAGCACTCCTGCTCTCCTGGATAGAAAATGCTATATTGAGCCTCTACATCTGTCTTAGGTGTAATCACGGGTATGGCAAAGTTCCTGCAAAACATTTGCACCAGGAAGTAACTTGACACATGTATGAAGTTCCAAGTCGAGTGAAAGGCATGAAGTTAATTACCAGCAGAGCCTGACATTTAGAAAAGGACTTTAAACAGGATTTTTAAACAGGATTTAGGCATAAGTTTCAGCCTACGTATTTACATCCAAAACGGAGATCCAAAAAGACCTCTTCAGCCACCACCTGGCCCTGAAGATCCCAACATTTTCTAACAGCTTCCTGTTTCACCCTGAAGTCACCATATCTATACCCCTGCTTCGAGAATCCAGGGCTGACCAGGAAAACACATCCTTTCTGCCTAAGACCCTCTGAACGTCAGAAACCAACACAATGCACCAAGTCTCCAGAGGCATTTGGAGAACTCTTAAGAAAACTGCTCTCAGAACGAGGCTGAGGCTTTTGGCTCTACAGCACTACCAGCTGGGAAGAAGATATCTTCCAACTCTTCTGCAATAGCTCTGTGTTCCCGTGGCCCAAACCCTGCCTCTGCAACACAAGCATTAAAACTGGAGTGGAAAGTTGTGGATGTTGGCCTCACATTGGAATGGTAGTTCACCAATTTGAGGTAAAAGGCACAAGAAGATGCCAGAGAAGGGACTGTCACCACATCCTTGTTCACTCACCCACCAGTCACACACAAAACAGAGCCCAGAGCTCTCATGGGGCTGGAGATCCCCATGATGGTGGCATGCATTACCTCTGCATCCTGGACATCCTGTGGAGCTCCATGTCATCGCTGCCGCGGAAACCTTTTGCGAAGGGGTTGTTCTCAATCTTCAGCTGAGTGATCTGAAAGGGAAGAAGAGCAATGGGTTCATTGCAAGTCCAAGGCATGGTCAGGGAGAGAGGGGATTTTGTTTATTAAACCCAGGCCAGTTAAGATGGTGGGGGAAAGACACTTTGGGGAATTCAAGTCATCCTTCAGCTCAAGCTCTGAGCACTCCAGACAGGGCGTCCTCCAGCTCTCTCCACTGGAATAGTATCTCCTGCCTTTCATTTCCCTCAGGCTCGCCCCATACCTAACACACACAACTCTCACTGGAGGAAAGCTGCTTTCTGAAAGATCCATACCGTCTTTTTACAGCTGAGATAGAAAGGGCTGTACTGAGCAGAGGGGCTGGTGATGAAGGTGGCATTACCCGAACAAATTTCACTGACACCAACAGATATTATCTCACCTGTGCATAACCATAACCAAAAACTCTCAAATCCTAGAGCCCACTCAGCCAAGGCTCACCCTGTCTCGTTACTCTGTCTGGTAGCGAGCAGCTATTCGCACTCCAAGAGCACTGCAGTTAACATGCTTCCCCTCCCAGATGCACACTTGCAGCAACAGATTAGGAATGTTTATCTCCCAATTAACTATAGAATGAATTAAGGGGGACTGCTTTGCTCTCCTAGTTGGCTACTATGAGAATCTGAAGTTAGCTAGCATGAATCTTCTTCAATCACCTAACTTCAGTCTTCCTGCAACATCAAACTTAAACATTTAAAGCATCACCTATAGAGAATGTCCCTCTATCCAAGCGACCTCTGTTGCTCACAGAGATGCAGTCCTCTCCTACTGATACCTCCCCTGAGGATTTAGGGAAATATACAGGTTTTCTCACCCTCAGGCTGATGTTAAAGCAGATATCATCTGGCCAGCAACACTCCCCACCACACTGCTGATCTTTTACTAGTTCCCATTGCTGTGCCACATTTGCCACAAGTGCTTTGGTGGCTCTGCAGAGTGGAGCTCAGGCTAGATCAGGTGTGCGCTGCCCTGAAAGCCAGCCTGCACCAGCTGCTCCTCCAGAGTTGGCATGGCAAAGTGGCATGGCAGCATGAGTTTTGGCTCACTTGACAGAAATACAGCCATAAACTCACTGCTGTATGAAACAAATCTGTCTGCAGCACGCAGCCAGGGTCAGCAACCAGGGAGCACCAGCCTTGCAGGGAGAGGAGAGGTCCAGCCTCTGTGCAAATCCCCATACCAACCTTCAGCTTATGTTATATCAAATACATAGGCAGCAAAGGCTGCAGTTTCCCTTCTTCCCTTTCTCCATCGCTGCCAGGCAGTCCGAGCACAGGGCCAGAAGCAAGGAGAGCCCTGAGCTTGGAGCAGCTTCGTGCACTCACCATCCTTCCTTCGCACTGCCGGTGGGCCAAAGGGAAGGGAAGCGCTTGGGATTGATGGCGGGAGAACAGAGAGAGGTTCATGCTCACCAAGCTGAGCACGCACAACTGGACCCATCTCTTTGCCAAAATTCAAAGAGAGAAATCTGGCCCTGCCAGTGTCAATAACAAGCACCGCCAGGTGTCTGCACGACCAGCTCATTTTGTTTTTTTCTCATCGTATAGCATATTTTTTCCAAAGGCTAGTTGTTTACTTGACTTTTTTTGCCTAATTTGATCCCAAATCTCACACAGCCCCCATCACCCACGTATGCACATCCCCACAGGCACTCACATTAAGTCAGGACCTAATTCACCACATAAACAAGCGCTGCTTTTTTTTGTCACGCATTTCCAATTTCAAAGCAGAGGCTGAACAAACAACCCATTTGGACCAACCTGCTATTTGAGCTGTTGTCTAGCAGTAAACCAGTGATATATTTCATAATTAAAAGCCCCAAACTGTTAGAAAGCAGCTGTGTACGTTGCAAAGTAACTGCCTATCAGTTTCCACCGCTGAGATGGTGGCACTTCTGTAGTGAATAATAGGCATTATTCAACTTGTGGAAGGTTCCATTTAATCTGCATTCTGAAATGCACTAAATGTACGGGTTGTCCTCACTTGCCGAACCCAATGGCAATATTTGCTTGCATAAGAGAAGTCCTTCATGGAGTGAGGATTTACAGTATTGGCACCAGCACACAACCGTACAAAGGCGCGGATTCATCCCAACCTAACCAAAGGCTCTTTAACCAAGGAGCCTGCACAGAGGACCTCAGCTCCCAGTGTTCCTGCTGGAATCAAGGGAGGAGATGGGGAGTGCTAGAGGGCAGGCGGGCTCTGGGGTGGGCAGCATTGCCCAAATTCACTCTGTTCACTGAAGAAGGAAACACCAACATGGGAGCCCTTTAGTTAAGCATCTCAGCTAACTGCTCTTTTTGACAAATCAAACCTTCAGTCCCCCACAGAATGTTAGCAAAATATCATACAAGACCTCCATCTTGCAAAAACATTGCTTTACTAGTAGAGAAACCTCCTAACTCTCTTTGGGAATGCTTAGAAACAATGGGATGAATGTACGTATTGCTAGCAGAAAGCCCCAAGTAGATCACCTGGAAATGAGAACACCTTAAAACAAAGGATCTGCTGCGTTGGAGGGGTCTAAGAGCTCTGGGGTACAGAAGGCTCCAAGTTAGGCCTGAGCTCAGTAGTGGGCAGTCTTCAGATGGGTTTCCAACAGGTTTCTCTGGATAACACTTAGGGGCATCAGCCCTAGCATTGAGTCTAAGACAGTTTTAGAAGAAAAAAAAAAAAGTGAAACAAATTAGAAAATAGAGAGCAAGCTGGTGAGCATCTGCTTTAGAAAACAGCCTCTGGAAGGTATTTTGTTTGGCTGCTTTTTGTCTGACTTCAAAACTATTCAGAAGTGGAAAAGCAAACAAATGGGTGGAAATTGCCTTCTTCTGGATCAGTTTTGCCACAGCAAAACTCTGTTTAATTGACTGCAATTCGTTGGGGGTGGGGACAAAAAAGCTGTCAGAAAGTCAAATGACAGTGACATCATTTTAAAATAAATAAATAAATGAATGCCACGTCCCACAAGGTCATTAAGATGGAACACTTGGGGCTAAATCACACAGCACGGATTCAACAAAAACATGGGGTTTTGTTTATTGATTTGTTACTAGAAGAAATTGATGGCAAAGTTATGTTCTAGCCTCTGATTGCTGGTGCTGTTGCAGACCCCTGAGTGTCAAGCACTTTCCCAGTGCAGCCTTCCCAATCTGCACTTCTCTGTGCCTGTCTGACCTATGGGTTCATCTTCACTTTAACGGGAAGCGACAGTTCCCAATGAAATCTCAGCGCCGCTCCTCCGCGCCTTTCTCTGGGCTAACTGACCACAGAGCATGTCTGCTGAGACATTTCCAACGGCATCTCTCACTCCAGCAAGATAAAATTGAGCTTTGCATCTAGTTAGGTGGAAGAAATGCACCATCTTTGCATTTTTCGTTCTTGCCCAGCCTTGTATTTACACAGGTTTATGTCTCTAGATTCACGAGCAGCAAGGGTCAAATTACCACTCTGTATTGATAAGGTTTCTCTCCATTGTTTCTAATCGTTAAACTTTGTTAGGGCTGAGGTGTCCCACACCAGCAGTTCGTTCTGGTCTCCTTTCTGTTTATGTTCTTTTCCTATCAATGAAACCAGTCCCATATTTTTGAGCACCATAGCCAAAGGGAAGCACACCGCTCTGACCTTCTGGAGGCTATTGCAAAGCCATCCCAAAGCCGGACACTTTGGAAAATCCCCACAGGTGCTGGGAGTAACCAGGAGGTTGGACTCCAGGCTTGAAAGCACAGAGCCTTTTTCTTCTGTGCTGTCACGTACCCCAGGTGGGAACCAACTCAGCATGGAGGAGAAAGCCAAACCAGAGTGGTGTGAATGGAAGGACTGGATGAAGACAAGGTGGCTGCTGAGGCTGTGTGCATCTGGCTGGGGCAGGCAGAGCAGCTGGATGGGGAACGGGGACTCAGAGCCCAAGGGAAAGGCTGGCAGGGGGGAGAGAATGCTGAACCCAGAGGGCAGTGAAGGAAATAGGAGGGACTGTGAGCCAGTGACTGGTCAGAGCTACTGGTATGAGACAGAGGGGCCCATTGAGGAGGCTGCTGGCTGAACTGGGAGGCAAGGACAAAAGACAGAAGAAGAGACAGACCATGCACAGTGCTTGGGTGGGGAGGAGGTGGGTCAGGAGGTGGGAGAGGGTGAGAGTGGGGAGAGCTGTAGTGCCCAGGGTCCCCTCAGAGAGGGAAGGCACAACCCCAAGGGCCCCAGGCTGAGCAGGGACAGGCTGGGGGACAGGAGTGGGCCCAGCCCCTACATTGAGGCACTCCATGGGATGCCAGCTGGACCACCACCTATCCATAGCCTCTGGCATCCTGAAGAGATGGATATAGTTCCCTGCAATCCAACCAGGAGAGCCAATCTCTGAAATAAAGCATCCTGAGCCCCAGCAGCTGCCCTCCTCAAAAGAACAGAGAGCCTTCCCTGGTTGTCCACATCACTGTGGTGCCTGTAGCATCCCAGCTAGTGCTTATGTTACCCAAAAGGAATTTGGGCTACTGAGAATGATGAATAACTTGGGGGGAAAAAATCAGCATAAAACCGGATATCCTGAGGGAGAGAAAACTAATATAAAGCCCAAGTCCAGCTAACAGGGAAAGTAGGTTGTAAAAATTAATGAGAATAATTGTTGTGAATTCTTGCTTTTGAAAGAACCCTCAAGAGGGCAGAACCTTAATTATTTCTGTCTATTAGGGTTCATTTCCTGGTCCTAAGTAGAGACCTAGTACTTAATAACCAGTAACACAATGATTTAAGCTACAGCAAAATGGTACTTAACTGTAGGGGAAGTTAATATTTGGGAATCAACCTGATTGCAAGCACCCATTGTGTAAATGGCAAGGAAATGAAATACGCATGTGACCTATTTTAACACCTTGATATTTCTGGGGTCTTTTTTCAGGGCTGCAGTGACGGGGGAGGTGGCCGAGCCAGCTGCTGACAAGTCCACTGAAAAATTAACGAAAACGTTCCTCGTAGCTGAGCCCTCCTTTTGGGGAGCAGGCTGGGGAGAGGGAGAGCCCAGTGGGCTTAAATATCTTTGCAGGCTGCCTAAAATATCAGGGGAAATAAGCACAAGGCCTGTATTGGGATTGCAGCTGTGCTCTTGAAATGAACGGGCTGATCCGCAATCAGACAGGTATTTCTGTGGGCTGTGTAAGCATCGAGTCACATGCGATTATGGATGAGTCGTGCAGGGAATACTACATGCTGCAACATCATGCAAGCATGACTTAGTTTTTGAAAGCACACACGTGTGTAGGCTAGTGTGTGCACCTGTGCATGAAACTGTGCATGTAAAAGGAATCACTGCGTAATAATGGTGTGTAATTGCACGGACAGGAGGATCTGTGTGAAGGGTGCTCTACGGCTGATGGATGGAAGTGAGAGAGGTGGCAGTAAGTGGGTAAGAATAGGTAGTGCGCAGAGACACACGAGGATGGACAACCAGATCAAAGCTCCTTGCTGAGCTCCACAGACACAGCCTGCGATCACTTATGGCAATAGGAAGCATAACCCAAAAACACTCTTGGCCCCAAAAACACCCCGCTGTGACAGCAGAACTGGGGCTTGTGCCCACAGAGCAGCCCTACACGCAATGGACGTCACCATTCCACACTGCCAGCACCAGCTGCACCCTGGTGCTGCGCCTCCTTGACACAGGGGCAAGCTGCAGATTTTATTCCCTTCCCTGGAGGGAGATGCCATTTAGGGTAGATCACTCCCTGGTTTATTTTTATGGCCCTATCTTTCTCAATTGGGGCTTTATCTTGGGGCTACAGCCATTCTTTTTCTCGTTCCCCCAATGACTCAAGGCAAGCAAGGAGAGGAATGCATGTGCTGGGGGGGGAGGGATGTGAGAGCATGTAAAATGTGTAGGGGGTGTGTAAAATATGTAGTGGTGTCTGTGTGCATGTGCATGTGTCTGCAGGGATGCGAGCGCGTGTGCGTCTGTAGAGATTCATGCGCTCGTCAGTGTGTGTGTTTTGACAGAGACGGATACGCAGATGTCATTCCTTATCAACCAGATGTTGTTGATTTACAATCAAATATCCCCGCTCCTCCTAATATGGCAGTTTTCCCAAACTACTGTACTTACATGTTTTTGCTTTGCTTTGTTTTATTTGCGTGGTAATTCCCCCCCCCCCCCACATAACAGTCCTATTTTTCTTCAAAGGAAAGCAATTAAATTCAGGCCTGTTTTCTCACAGGGAAATGCATTTAAAACAAGCAGTATGTCCTGTTTTATTAACTCCCTGTTCTATTAATATTATATTCTTTCTCCGAATCCATCAAGCAGAAGTTAAACTCGATTTTATAGCATCCACAACGGAGTTATAATTTAAGGCATAATTTGGCGAGGGCTCAACTTGGATCCAGTCTGCTTGTCCTGGCTGTGCCAGCAGCTCCTATTTTAAAGGGCAGGGAAGTATTTTCTTTTCTCCCTAGTTACGGTGAAACACTCTTTCTTCTCCAGCCCGCTTCTGCTTTCTGCAGCTCCCTGGCCAACCAATGGATGAAGGAAGCACAACCATTTCACGCACATTTAGGAGCTTCCCCGTTACATCTCCAGGAAAGCATCCAGAATTCAACTAAGGTCTTATCTGACCTTTCTCCATTTGAAAAAATAACAGAATGCTTTCACTCAGTTGAGCATAAGAGGGGCATTCTACCTGCCCACAAGTCCAAACAAAGACCCTGCTTTCAATGCCATTAGGGGAGCCCTTTCGGGGGCACCCCAAGGAAGCCTAAATTGACACATTTTCACACATTTTTGCTTTGTTCTGCTCAGGCAGGAGCTGACTCCAGCCTCAGAGCCTCCCTTCCTGCCAGGGTCTCACTGCCCTCGGTTGGTGGGGACGGAGCCGTCCCCAAACAAAGGGACAGAGCACAGCCAGCTGGGGTTATCAGAGCCCCGGCCACAGAGGGGAGCGCCCAGCTCCCTTCTCCAGCACCAGATTACAGCCTTTGACCGATGTGGGGAAAGAAGATAAAACCAACTTCCTCGGTTGGTCGCCTTCACTCTGAGCAAGCCATCCTGTTTGAGCTCATTCCCCCTTGGCGCGCCTTGAGCCCCTTCTTTGGATACTTTGTGCGTACTGCCAGGAATAACAGAGGGGATGGGGACAGAACAGATCTAGACGGATGGGGAGGGGTGTGGGGAACAGAAGGGAGCCAGGACTGTGGCAAGTGGGGAGGTGAGAGAGATGATGGTGGGGTGGGAAGGACCCGAAAAGAAACAGTGTCAGGAGGGAGTGAGGAAGAGGAGACACAGTTTGCTGGTGCGAAGGCCCGGCCGAGCTCTCACCTTGTGGTTTTGGTAGGATGTAACAGCAATGAAGGCGGTCTCTGGGAAGACATGGGTGCAGAAGGCTGTGTTCTTGGAGCCGAAGCCGTTGTTCTCATCTGCCTTCACGATGTGGAGCCGGGGCTGGTACTTGTGCATGGAGTTCAGGATGATCTGGGCATGGGGAGAAAGAGAGGACAGGCCATGGGAATGGAGGGGGCAAAACTCCGTGCATTCCCAACCCGTGCAACCTTCTCATGGAGAGAGGAGGCAGAGAGGGAACTGCAGTCCCTTCCCCAAAAGATTCTCCCACATCAGAGCTCCTCAGAAAGGATGGAGGAGGAAACACCTCTCCAGAGAAGCATTCCGCCACAGCCAAGGAGCCCATTAGGGCCCCTAACACATTTCCCAAAGCTGGAGGGGGCTCTCTTTCTCTTGCAGCACCCCCAGCAAGGGTACCTCAATCTTCCCAGCAATCCAACAAAGCAAGGGATGAGAAGCAGAGGAATTCGTGTGTCCAGCCCCCCCCACCATGCCACCCGCAGAGGATGGGGCAGGAGGGTGGTGGGGAGGGAAGCGCTGCGCTCAAGATAAAAAGCGGCCCCTGCTCCGTACCGGGTTAATCTCCGGGGACAGTGGCGGGGATGGGGACGGTGGGGGAGGGGGGGACCCGCGCCGATAATGACCGGACCCTGGCGACAGCGAGACGCAGCGCGCCCCAACGCCAGACCCCGACCGCCTCGCCGCCTCCCCCTTCCCGGGGGTTTAGGCAAATTGCTTTGACATCCGGGAAAGCCGTAGACATCAACGGTGAACGATCTAATGGTTTTTAATTTCATTACCGCGACTCTAATTGAGAGGCTCCCGGTGCAGCTCCGCCTCTGAAGTCCCTATTGACCCAGCAGCCCGACTCTGCTTGCAGGGACTTCTCCCCAGAGCCGCCTGCTCGCAGCGGGAGATGCCTGGCCCCGGGACCCGGCCGGATCCCCCCCCCAAAATCTCCCCCCTCCAAAACAAAATTATATTAAATAATAATAATAATAAGCGAAAGCAGCAGCGCTTGCAAAGCGTCTTAATTCGGGTCCCAAAGGAAAAAAATAAATAGTAAATAAATAAACCAACCAACCCTGAATTGGAGAGGGAAAGCGCGGCTCGGACAGCGATGCTCAGCGCTCAGGTGCGCTGCGGGCTCGGCTGGTTTCCTCCCACTCCCCGCCCCCACCGGACAGGATTTAGGAACACGAGGTTTTCAGTGTTAAAAAGTGAAAACAGAAGGAAGAAGAAGAAGGAAAAAAAGAAAAAAAAAAAAAAAAAAAAAAAGCTTGGGGAAAAAAAGTGAAACCGAAGTGTTGAAATGAGACTGGAGAAAAACGGGCTCTTGGAAAAGGATGGTGGGATCTGGATTCATATACTCGCTTAAGTAATTATATATATTTTTATAGATATATATATTTATAATTCATAGACGCATATATACATTTGCTCAGAAAAAACCATGTCTTTGGAGACCTCCGAAGGTGGGCTGCTTCTGGCTGCAGAATTCACACAAGTTTTCACGGCCCCTTGGGTCCAACAATGGTTGGTGGTGAGATTTGGCTTTTACTTTTTTTCTTTTCAACCACGTGGTTGTAGGTCCTATTTCCTCCAATAATTAAGCCTGATTGATTTTTACCTGTTAGCCAAATTCATGGAAGCTACGGGCAGATTTTAAGGCTTTCAGACCCCCTTCGGGTTAAAACCAGGTAGCTGAGGTGTCACTGAAGCCAGGCACTGCGGTCTGTAATCAATTCCCACGCAGTGCTGTGAAATAGATCTTTAAAACATGGGCTACGTATCCTTTTTTTTTTTTTTGGGGGGGGGGGTGGGGGAGGGGGGGGAGGCGGTCATCACTGGGGCTCATCCCGTCTTACCAGGGGGGAAGATAATACCCCAGTCAGATAATGGATTTAGACTACAGGTTCGGTGGCTCCGGGCAATGCGATGCCACTCGTAGGGACCCGATTGCGCGTGGGATCCCACGGTCGCTCTGTGAAGCACAAATCCGCGTCTCCCGGCCCTATCCCAGCACGGTACTCACATGTCCGAAGGGATCGAGGTGATTGTTGGTGAGCTTCAGCTTCTGGAAGGAAACCAACTGCCTCATCCAGTGGGCTCCGGTAGCGGGGGAGTCGGGGTGCACGTAGAGGCGGCCGGGCATGGCCGGCTCTGCCTTCCCGGTCACGGACCTGCGTGGGACAGAGGCGCTGAGCTCCCACCCGTGGGGTCCCCCCTCCTGCCCCCAGCACCGTGGTGCCCGGCGGTCTTCGGAAAAAAAAAAAAAAAAAAAAAAAAAAGACGTTTACGGACACACACAGTGCGCGGAGAATTAATGGAGATCTTTGGCACTTTTCCCGTCAAGGTGGCCGTTTCCCCATTTAACCCCATCCTTCCTCCTTCCTAATTGCGGACACCCAAACAAGGAGCAAAGGAAACACCGCGTATCCACCCTTCAGCATCTCCCCCGCCCGGAGACGCTGCTGCCCGAAGGGTAATTAAACTACTGGCACCAGGATGGCCAACGATCTCACCGTTAAGCAGGATTACAGGCACTGTTCTCTAATTGCAACAGATTTGGCTCTCTCTTTTGTTTGTTTTCTTTTTGTGTTGTTCTCCAGAGGTGCGTCCCGAGACCCTCAGGTACAGCCCAGCATCCAGCAGCAGCATCTCCCACCCTATGCCGCCCCGGGATCGGGCAGCCCGACACGAATCAGCGCTCCCTTCCCTCCCCCCCCTGAGTGCGTACCATTTATTATCTGCAAATTTGTATCTGTGGTCATCCGCTGGTACAATATCCATCAACAGTATGTACTTCGTTTTTGGATTGAGTCCAGTGACCTTCACTTTGTAACTGGGAAACATACGCCTATAAAAGAAAGAAGTGCTTAAATACAAAAGCGAAGAAGGGAAAGTTTCCCAAGGTGGATCTGTGCGTTGTGTGCGGTTTATCAGAAGTGGAGGGGCCCTGCAGCCAGGCGGGGGCACATCCTGTACGGGGGGGGACTGGAGGGGGACCTGGGGGGACTGGGGACTTGAAGAGGCGGAATAGTAGTTACGATCCCAATGGGTTGGTTTCTTCACCTACCCCTCAATTCGCCTATTTGTTATCATTTCTTTCACCAATGCTTCAATTTAAAAAAAAAAAAAAATAAAATAAAAAAATTAAACAAATCTGGCCGCGAGATCCCTTGGAAGCAACTGACTTTCCTGTTTGCTTAAACTGTTGGAAGAGCAGGGGAAATAAGCCAAAAAAAAAAAAAAAAAAAGGAAAAAATATATATTTCTGCAAAAATACGCGTTTTAAATGTGCACATTTCTCCAAAGCTCCCGTGTGTATCAACCTGTCCTCTCCCAGAAGCTGAAGGAACACACGCGCTCAGGTGTAGCACCGAGGACGTGCATACAGAGACATCAGCAAACACACCTGACAAATACTTGGAAGCACGCGGATACACACTGAGGACAGCGGCTTTTCGAAATAGTTTCCATTACTGCAAGGCAGGGACTTAAAACACTGATGTTATTTTAGTTTGAGCTTTCCAAATATTTAAAAATAAAGCAGATGAAAACGTAGCCCTTGACTTAAAACACGCATAAACAAAAAGCCCCACACCTCTAAAAATACTGCGCACTTCTCCGGGGCTCGGGTTCTTATCTGTGCGATAGGGCATCTGGGCCGGTATGTAAATTCACGTGGTAAGAGATGAAGGGGGGGAAGCCGGTGATTGATGGGGGGTTACGGGGGTAGATCGAGGGAGAAGAAACCAAATTCCACCCGAACACGGATCTGCGCGTCCACCTCAAACACCTGATGGGCAACGGCGCGACCCCGGGCTTCTGCAGCAATGAGCATAAGGAATTCTATGAAGAACAACTATTCTGTGCCTGCCCCGGTGCTGCGTGCGCTCTCCCCTAAACACCCCGCTCTATAAATGTCGGTTTTATAGCTCTCCAGACGACGTTTCTATGCGTTACTCTATTTGTTTGAAATCTCCGCAAGGTGGTTTTTGTCCGTCTTCCTCCTTGCGCTGCTTTCTGAGAGGGGAAAAAAAAGAAAAAAGAAAAAATCTGCTTTTCTTCGCGAAGTTTCCGTGTCCCCGAGCGGAGGCAGCGCGCAGCCCGCGTCCCCGCAGGGTCTGGGGGCGGAAGGACAACGCTGCCAGCAGCTCCGCAGCCGCGCATTTCCCGCAAGGGTCGCCCTTTCCAGCAGCAGAGCAAGGCGAACAGTGAGACAGACCCACTCGCAGCGCTGTCTGCAGCCAGCTCTATTTTTTTTTTTTTCCTCCCTCTCCAGGCAAATTTTGGAAGACCACAACAAATACCAGATGACAGAGCAAAATGAAAGTCTGACTTGGCGTTGCTTACTGTGCCCTCGCCTCCTAACGCTGCCATTCTCTCTTTGCTGGAGGGGTTTCCCTTTTCAGATCGAGCCTCGGGCAGCGCCAGATACGGCAGTTCGTTTCAAACCGTAGCGAAAAGAGCCCCGAGTTCGCAGGTGACCATTGCCCTGGATCTCCCATGAGCAGCCCTCAAAGACGCTACTATTAAGGATAAAGCTGAATAACCTCAAACGCACTGCAGTACATCCGCGTACACACACAAATATCTGTGGATCGGGTTTGCTGAGCCGGCCATGGAATCCATTACGCACAGTCCCAATAAAGTTGGATTTGCGAGGCTGTATATTTTTCTACACACCCACGCAGGCGAGAGCACACATATAGAAATGTGTATCTGGACGCGGTTAGACACGCATGCTATTTATTTGCGGGCACGTCTATTTATGCATCTAAACCGTTACGCTATCGGTATATAAACAGTAGCTTAAGACCACATATACTTTTAAATGGGATGGTGTGGGTGTTCCGCCTATATTGGCCTCAATGAGCGCGTAAGAAATTAGAAGGGTCTGGAAGAAAAAAAAAAAAAAAAGAAAAAAAAAAGAAAAAAAAAAAAAAGGACTGCGTTCCAAAATCGCGGAAGGACAGAGCTGCTCCTTTAGTTAAAAATAATGTTAATATTAACGAGATCGCCCAGCGAACGGCTCTAAACAAGGTCAGCTTTTGGCCAAGTGGCTGCAATTCGGCTCTTGACTGGAAAGCTTCCAAAGGCCTTGAAATTGGGATTAACGATCCAACTGTTCTGGTTAAGAAAGGAGCCAGAAGAAACAATTTCTTCTCAATCCATCCTCGCAGGGGTGTCACGGAGACCCGGGGCAGCAGCGGGGCTGAGGCCGGGCACCTCCATTGCGCCGTGGGCACGCACTCCCCACGCACACGAGCACGCGTGGAGAAGCTCAGGGTGTGTATTTGTGCAAAACTCTCCCCGCAAGCACCGACGGAGGAGGAGGATTCGGCCCCACGGACACAAAGGGCGTGCGGCCGCCTCCCCCCGTTGCACTGGGGCTGCTTCTTACCTTCCAGCCTTTGTTATGATCATCTCCGTCCCCACCTCGTGAAATTTCAGCCACAGCTCCCGCTCGTGCAAAAACACTTTGATCCCCTCCATGCCCTGCAAAGCAGAAAGGCAGAGCCATGAGCACCGAGCCCCGAGGAGGAAAAACCAGAGAGGGAAGCAGCCGGGCGGCGGGGCCGGAGTTCGGGGAACGCTTCCCGGGCAGCGCCGGATCCTGCGGGCCCCGGTGCTGCGGGAGCGGGACGGCCGGGCCCGGCTGGGAGAAATCCCCCCTGCTGCGGTCGGGAGGCGGCCGGAGGAGATTCACATCCTTCTGATGAGTGATTTACACCCGCTTTTGCAGGCTAGGGCCCAATCCTCGCACCCTTCGGTCCTCGCCTTGTTAGCCCGGTCCGGAGGCATCGCTCTGAGCGGGGCGGGAGGGAGACCCACAGCCTGACAAAACCCCCAAACCGAGGACACGTACACCCCTAACGATAACAGAACCGAAAACCGAGCAGTCATCGGCCGTGGGATCTCCTTCCAGGGATTTACCTGCGGCCGCCTAAGGATCCTGGCGAAGCCCTACACCCCGGCACCGAGCTCCGGGGCCAGCTCTGAGCGCTGCCGCAGCCCGGCTCCTTGGCCCGGCCCTGCCCTCCTCTGCAGCGTGGGGAGAGCAGTTTGCTGCGGCCTGCCGGTGAGCCCACGTGTGTAACCGCGACTCGGGGGGGTCCGTCGGGTGAGGGTTGGTGGGGATGTGCGAGGGGACCCCGGCTGTGCCCAACCCCCCAGTGGCTGCGGGCTGCCCACGCGTGACACCCACAGCGTGCCCTGGAGCCCAATGGCGGGCAGAGCAGTGTGTAGCCGGGGTACACAGGCACAGTGTGTTCACGTGTACATTTTCATGTGTATATATGCTCATACGTGTCTTAAACCAATCCACACAGGCACATAGCAAATACACAGCTGTCTGAGCTTGCATCTGCATGTGCATTTCTACACTCAAGCACTGGCTGTGTGTGCCTGTCCTTGCACAAAAGGGTCCCTCCCTGTGACATTCACTGCGATTTTTCCCTGCATGCCCCCCCAGCACTCAAACACACCGCAAAGAACAGCAAAGCAGGAAAGAGCCCACAGCCCTGACCATCAGGTGAGAGCTTTCCTTCCCGTGAGGCCTAAAATGACTCATTCCTGCCCAGCTCAGGAGTAGAACTACAGCTGGGATCGGGGGGAAAACGCAGAAAATTGGCAAAAAAAAAAAAAAAAAAAAAAAAAAAAAAGGAGAGAGGGGGACGAAAGAGAAGGGGAGCTGCTGCCGGATCCTTACCTGCTGGGTGAAGGCTGCCTGCGGAGAGGTGGGGGCCTTGCTGGTGGTCCCCAGCTGGGGGTCCTGCTTGGCCTCAGCCTGCAGCTCCTTGGCCTCCGAGTCAGCCGGCGTGCTCGGGAGCCCGAAGCCTTCCTCGGTGTCCGCCATGTTACGAGCTTCCTTCGCCGAATCCCCCACTGCAGGCACACATCGAGGAGAGAGCAGAGATAAGAGGCACATAAGTCAAGGCTGACGCTCAATCAAATATATATACATTAACGATACACATGCGCTGAGCCCGGCGCTGGGCAGGGCGGGAGGGCGAAGCAGCGCTGCTCGCAACTCACTTCCAGCAGCCCGGGGAGAGGACAAGGCCCTTTAACTTTTGGAGAGGGAGAAATAAAGACTTTTATTTATTATCGCAGCCCGCAAGGGATGATAGGATTTGGGGTGGGGGATGGGGAGAGGGGAGGCGGTATTATTAAATGCATCTTTTGGACAAGGTAAACAGCCGCCTTCCCGCAGTCCGCCCGGCAGCGCGCACGGGGCACCTTGCCGCGGGACCGAGCCGCTCAGCACACGCGTGGCCGCGAGGTGGGGGTGTCCCGGGGGGGGGCTGGGCCTCCCCATCCCCAGGGCCGATATCGGGCTCTCTGGGCCGGGGAGGCTGAAAGATCCCCCCGTCCTCCCCGAGAGGTAGGAGCCGCTTTCCAGCAAGCGAATGCCTCCGCCACGTGACGGCGTTTATATAACCCCAATTCCAAAGAAAATTCAACTTCGTGCACCCCTGTGAAGCGCGACCTTTCCGCCAAAGTAAAATAAAACGAGTCTTTTATCCATCCTCCAAAACCCCAAACTCAAAACGCTGTCCCGAATAGTCGCAAATCAAGTCGGATTGGACGGACGAGACGATTTAAAAACATCTAAAAAGTGCGAATCAGTCCGATATGGTGCAAAGTAACGTGCGCATGGACTGCACATGCAGTGAGCTGAGCCCTAACGGGAGGAAAACTGCACCGGCAGAGCCTGAGAAATCCGCCGCTTACATCTGATGCGAGCACCAAGAGGAGTTTTAAAGGCGGTGTTTTGGTGGAGCTTTGAGGGCTCTATCAGGACTGGTAAAAGTTCCAAACAGGAAAAAAAAGTAAGAGAGAGAGAGATAAAAGCAGTTCAATTATCTGTAAGTATTTTTTTTCGTTTGTTTTGAAGAGTTAGGAGTTTTAATAGCTTTTAAAAAATCTCTCTCGCGTGTTTCAAAGAAGAGGATTCGGTTTTGAAAGGCCAGCCATATGGAGACAATATTGGTCTTAAGTACACGAGAACGGTTTGAAATGAGTCCTCCATCTCCCTGCAACAATATTTAAAAGCCTTTAAAAGAAAACATAAAAAAGGCAATTCTCCTTTAAATGCTGAGGAGAATTGGGAGTGGAAAGGAGGGGGAGAAAATGCTCTTCCCTGCTAGTGGTGGGTAACGTATACATACACGTATATATAATTTAAGAGGACAAAAAGCAAAGGGACTGCGGGTCTACACCTCCGGAGCTAAAGATCATTGACAGAAAGGCCCCCGTCCCCGGGTCCCCACCCCCCCTCCCCTCTCCTGCGCTCCCTTCCCACACTGCGGGGCAGGAGAACCGCGCCCGGTGGGACTGCGCGGAAAATGCGCGGCTGGGAACCCGCGGACATCGAGTGCAGCCCCGCAGCTGCCGAGCCATAGACCGTAAGGGGTTTCTCTTCCCCTCCTCCTCTTTTTTTTCGAGCTGTTTAGGTTTTTATCATAATTATTATTTCCTTTTCTTCTCCCCTCTCCTTTTTGCTACAGCCTTGGAAACCCTCGCTATCAATTTCGAATCGATCTTCCTCCAGCGAGGATCTATTCCTCCCCTTGAGCTGGCAAAGTTAGGAGGCGGGTGGGGGAGAAAAGGCACGTTTATTAAAACAAAGAGGGACCCAGATATGGCAGCGCAGGGGACGAGCCCCTCTCCCCGTGTCGGCGGGTCAGGGAATAATTAAGCAGATTAAAAATAATAATAAACCGAGGGGTGACGGTGGAAAGAAAAAAAAAAAAAAAAAAAAAAAGAAGAAGAACCCAACTACTAAGAGCAATTGGCGAGCTACGGCTGCTGATTTTTTTTTTCCCCTTTAAAGAGCTTCTGAGAAGAAATGGAGCTTGACAGAACCAGGCCGCGATGGCTGTATGAAAAACGCATCCCGCTTCGCTAAAGTAGCACCGAGCTGGTTCGCAATACACATATCTATATAAAGAAAAAAAAAAAAAAAAGGAAACCCAGCCCACCCTCTCCTTTTGTTCCAGGCTGCTCTCGCTGCTCCCCGCGCCCCCCCACCCCCCGGCCCCGCACACCGCCGTGGAGCCCTGCGGAGCGGCCCCCCCGCATCCCGCGTCTCCCGAGGCCTCGCCGCTCCTCGGCACAGACAGTTTGTGTCTAACAATGACCCCGGACAGCCACTTTCGCTCTCTCTCGGTCGCACACGCGCACACGCACTACAGACACCGACGGACATACATGGCAATGGAAGAGCTGTTACCTTGCTTGTTGAATTCCATGCAATCAATGCATCTCCATATGTATATATATGTGTATATTTTCCCCCTTGGCAATGGAAATTACAATGGGATCAGGCTTCTCGTGTGCATATTTCCTTTTATTTATTTATTTGCGGATCAGCATGTGAAAACCCAGCCTGGAAGAAAAAGCTCTATCCAACGCAAGCCGCCTGCCTGCCTCGCTCTCTCTCTCTCTCTCTCCTGCTCTCTCCAAACACTTCCAGGTTGTCAGACGCACCAGAAAGGATCCTGAGACCAAGATAAAGCCCCCACCCCCACCCTTTTCTGAGCCTGATCTGGAAGATGCACTTTTCCCCACCCTAATCTTTCTACTCCCCCCTCAAAATAAAAAAAAAGTAATCATTAAAAAAAAAAAAAAAAAAAAAAAAAAGGGAGGGGAGAGGGCTAAAGAGCCAACAGCACCCCCTTCGAAAAGAAAATGGGGAAAAAAAGTTCCGGGCGGGCTGGCAGCGACCGCTCAGGGCAGGTTCTCAGCGCAGTGCTACCGCGGGGCTGCGCGGAGCCGAGCGCGGGGTGCGGAGCGGAGCGCGGAGGGGACGTGGGCCCGTCCAGCTCCGCTCGCCAAGTGCCGGGACCCGCTGCCCAACCAGCTGGGATCCTGCTCCGGAGAGACTCCCTCACCCAACCCTCCCGCCCGCCCCCTCCCCCCCAAACCTCCTTTTCCAGCCTATTTTTCTGGCCGGCAAACAAGAACAAGGCACAAAGACAATCGCCAAACTCCCCAGCAGCCCTCCCCCTCTGCCTTACCTCCTTCCCTCCCTCCTCCATCCATCTCTCCCAACCAAAGAGAAAATTCAGCGCCTGGGAATATCCCCCTTCCCCCTCACCCCTTTAAATAAATCGCTGGCTCCGCTAACCTCACACCACCCCCGCCCCCCCCAGCCCCCCCCGCCCTCAGAGGCTGCCCAGAGGTGTGGATGCGAACCCATCTCTATCTTTGCTTACATAGGCCTTAAAAAATAATAATAATACAAATCTATGGGAAGGGGGAGAAGGGGAAGGGGGGGGGGGAGACCCCTTCAAGTGGACCCTCCGTATGAGCAGGGAAAAGGGATGGAACACGGCGGAGAGGGACTGAACCCACCAAGGCGGACCCTGCAGTGCATGTCGTCCCCCCGAGCCCCTCTCTCCATCCTCTCCCCCACCCCTCGCCTCGCTGCCCGGCCAGGGCACGCAGCCCCTCAGCCTCCGCTCTGCTCAAATAATCAAACCGTCAGCGAGGAGCGGGGACGTGGCTTTATCTGCGTCTTCCTCCTCTCTCTTCTCGCTCTCTTTTTAATGTATTATTTTGAGGGTAAAGTTGAATAGGTCAGCGCAGGGTAAACAGCCTTCCTGTGGCATTCTGCAGTCTGAAGAGAACCAGATTGGCGAGTCGGATTTTTGATAAGACTCGGAATAAATGGCATGTTTTAGATCTGCTCTGCCCACCTTCCTTCTCCTTCCACCCCCTCCCCTTTGCTCAAACCCCCCCCCCCCCCCAACTCTCCCCAAACCTCAACCCTTTTCTGCCTCTCGGCCGTTCCTTTTGCATTTCGCGGAAGTTTCAGCAGAGCCACAGCGCTGCTCAGCTCCGAGGGGCTCGAGGACGCCGCAGCGTCTGCGAGTTGCAGGAGAAAGCAGCGGGCGAAAAGTCCGGGGGGTGAGCGGCCGGGGGGGTGTGTGTGGGTGTAGCTTGGCATCTCCCAAGGCCCCCCCCGGTGCGCTCTACCGAGGAGAAACAGCGAACGGTAAACTGTTGCAAATCAGAATAATAAAATAACTGCACTTGTAGCCGCGGAGAATTAGCCAGCGAGCGCTACTTAAACAAACAGAACAAAGCTTGTCCCGTCTTTCGTTATTTTTAGAGGGGAGAGAGCCGAGGAACCCTTCCAAACACAAACAAACGAGCGAGCGAACAAATCGCGCCGTGCTTCCGCGCGGTGCCGCGGCCGCTCCGGCCTCGGCCTTGGAGAGAGCGGGCACGGCCCCGGCTGCCCTCCCACCGCTACGGAGAGGGGAATACAAGCAGCAGAGCCCGGCCGGGCTGCGGGAAAGCCGGGTCGAAGCGGGGGGACGCGACTGTTGGGAACGCTCCCCTGCTGAAAGCAAGCCAGAGGAGAATTATTATTAATAATTATTATTATTGTTTCATTAAAATATATCCAAGCAACGAGGTAAAAGCTTGCCTGCATCGAGGAACAAGGCTGCCCTCAGCTCGTAGTGAGGAAGAACGCGACCCTCCCCTCCCCTCGCCAAAAAGAAGGCAAAAGTGGAAATCTCGAAGTTTGCGGAATCGCCCTCGAGCGCGGCTGTCGCCCGGGCAGCGCTACTGGCGCGGGTCGCGCACTCACCTCCGCAGCGCCAAAGAGGCTCGCAAACACCTCGAAGACAAGTTGAAAACGATGCAAATAAATCGAATTTATTTCCGTCCGCAGGTTGGGGGGTGAAGAAGAAGGAAAAAAAAAAAAAAAAAAAAAAAAAAAAAAAAGCTGGGAAAAGGAGCGCGAGCCCAGGCTCCCTAGGACTGTAATGTCAAGACGAGGGAGCCTTCCAGCTAGAAGCCGATTTGTGGTCTCAGACAAATTAAATATTACTGTTTATTACCAGCCATACTCCAATAAAATAAAGAGAGTTCAAGGCGATAGCTGCTATCTCACGAGCTTTGCTCCTATAGGACACGGAGACGTCACCAACCACGCAACTGGCCTATTCTGTCATGGTTGACTGCAGCAGTAATGGAAGGTTAATTTGTATTATTCTCCTCTTTTAAAGCCCTATCAGTGAGATTCCTGTGGTTTTTTTTTCGTTTTTTTTTTTTTTCCTTTCCTTTTTTCTTTTTTTCTTTTCTTCTTCTTTTTTTTTTTTTTCCTCCAAAGAAACCATTCGGCTCTATGCAAAATACACCGAGGCTGCGCTCACCCTCTGCACGTGTACGTATAGACACGAATCCATCACACAAGGCAGGCACACGTACATACGTGGGAGTGAGGGAGTGTGTGTCCTGCACGAGTGTGCATCACCAAAGAGAGCACGGAGTCGCTGGAAACTCCGGGAAAATCCGCTCTTGGAGTGGAAAAGAGGGAAACGAGTAGAAAAGCTCCCGCCTCACCAGGAGCAGCTCGCTTAATCCAGCGGTACTGACACTACTTAGCTTAATTTTTTAGGAAATCAATTAATAATAATAATAATAATAATAACAACGACAGTGTTGGAAAGAAAGTTGTCAAATGAATGCTCAGGCGCCTCTGGAAGCAACCACATTCTGGGCTATATATAGTAAATGATAACCTGGTTATTTGCACAGATTCAAGTGTGCTTCGGGAACCAATTGTTTGCTCTGATTAAGGGGAAAAAAAAAAAAAAAAAAAAAAAAAGTAGGAAATCGAAGCCATTATTTGCCAGACGAGATTGACAAGTTAAAAATAAATAAATAAATAAATAAATAAGAGAAAAGAAAGAAGGAAAAGCCTCAAATCCCCAAATGCCTCCGAGTGCAGTCAGTGGCTGCAGAGGAGCCGCCGCTCCCACCGCCCTCTTCCCCTCTCCCATCGCTCCCTCAACCTGCGCGGGTTTTGCGGCAGAGTTTTCGCCAAAGATGCTCAACCGTTGTTTCCTCCAACAGAAAGAGAGAGGAGGAGGAAGAAGAGGAGGAGGAGAAATAGGGAGAGAAAGAAAGAGCATCACCTAAGGAAGAGAGAGAAGTTGCTGCAGGACTGGGTAAGTGTTCCCAGCAGGGCCCCAGGCGGCTCCGGCCGAGGGGCTGCGGGCAGCTTTCCCCCCTGGCACAGGCCCGGCTGGGTGCCCCTTGCTGCCTGCCTTCCACCATTCCCCCCATGCCACTCCCTGCCCCATTCCCAGCCCTGCAGACAGCCAGGCCTCGGCACAAGACAGCAGCGAGGATGGCAAAGGGGGGGCGGAGAGGAGAAGCCCCATGTCACTCCGCAAAACCAAAGCCAAAAACAAACAAACAAAACACACACACACACAAAAC